TGAACTTACAGGCTATGAGCTTTATGTGGTCACTGATGCTCAAGTGGTCCTGTATTGGATCTACTATCAACAAGAATCTATTTGCTCACAACAGATTGAAGTATATTACTGAAATGGATGCAAAGGTAAAATCAGAATTCAACTTGGAACTGAGCTTCAAGTATATTCGTACTGCTGACAATCCTGCTGATTATATCTCCAGAATTGGTACACTGGCCCTGCATAGATAATGCGATCATTGGTCTCAAATACTCTGTTCTATTACAAGCAGGACAAATCCAAATGCTGATATTCTTATCTGGTTGAGAAGAAAGGGTCTGATCCTGAAAGCCTTCTGTATCTTTATCATCTATGGGTTCTTCTTCTACATCTGTGTGTTGGGAAAGCTTCAGAGGATACAAATTTTTAAGGGAATGGGTCTGTATTGAGCCATTTCCCTTTTTTACCTTAACTGAACAAATCAAGTGGTCATTCCCTTCGATCAGTTCCATGACCCTTTCAATGGACCAAAACAGACTTGTTTTTAATGGGTTTTTGATCAACACTACATCTCACTTGATGGCATTTTGGAATGAACAGTTAGCCAACTCTATGTGTCACGTTCTTAGACTTAAGAGGTAATTCTTATGCCACAGTTGCCTAAATTTCTTTAAGCTTTCTTCTTGGGAACGGAGAGTATTTAACAACCTTGCTTGACTAGGATGATCTGGCACTTCCAAATCATTACTGTTCACCCTCATTATTAGTCCCTTGCCTATATTGGCATTCAGGAGAGAATTGGGTGTTAATGCATTCAACTCCATGTCTTCTGAACTTATATAAGTCAGGGAGCAGTTGATTATATCTCTTTTGACATCAGATAAAATTGTTAGAAGTTCAAAATAATCAACCTTACCTCTTCCTATTGTTTTGTACAGGCAAGTTTTTACAGTCCTTATAGTTCTTTCCCAAGTACCCCGATACCAGGCTGAATAAAGGGGTGGGGGTTGTACAATGCTTCAGATTGTAAGGCCCAAATTTCTCCTTGTATTCATCTGTTAGCATCTCCTTATTTAGTACCTTTGATGCTGCAATGAATATTTTTGCATTATTGGAGAAGAGATGTGAGAGAACTCAATAAGTGTTCATGAATCTAATTAAGGCCTGTAAAAATGCTGATACTCATACAGGTAAATATGAGAATATACGTCTTCTTCCCCTTTAATTCTGATATGACTGGTATAATCCATGCCAGTATGGACAAAGGGTCTCACTAAATTTACCTGAGGATCAGATAAGTTAGTTGTGTTGGGCACTGAATAAGTAGTGGCATTGTACCTTCAACATTTGGTACAAGCCTTTTTAACTGTTTGTCTGGCCTGTGGAATCCAATATCCTGAAATTCTTATTTCATTTAGAGTAGTAGCTAGGCCTAAATGTTGACATTTTGCATAGTGTTCTTTTATAATCAAGTCTGTCAAGTGGTGTTTTTTCCTAACAGAATGGGGTTTTAAACCTCATATGGATGTTTTGACACCCTTATCCTCCCCTTAGACTGGATAATATAGGAAGCGTCCCAAAAGAGGTTTAAATTTCTTTATCAGGTTTAGCTCACTCTTTCTTGCAGAGTCCAGTAAGTATTTCAACTTCTGCTGAAAGGATTCCCTTTGCATTGTTTTAAACAGGTGAACACTTCCTTGTAAATGATGATCCTTGTCTCTCTTCAACAGTTTGTTTATGAATCTGAACACACAAGAAGTCACACTGATCAACTTGTTTAGGCTCAAATAACATAACTGGGACGACAGTTGAAGTTTCAGGTTTACTCCTTGTGAACAAATTCACAGCAGGAAGTACACTTTTTTTCTTTTTCTTTTTTTTTATTTTTGTCTACAGAACCCTGTCAGACCCTTTCTTCTCAACCAGATAAGAATATCAGCATTTGGATTTGTCCTGCTTGTAATAGAACAGAGTATTTGAGACCAATGATCGCATGCGATAAATGTAACAACTGGTTTCAGTTTGATTGTGTTGGAGTAGCTGTAGTGCCGCCTGAAGATGATTAGTGGTTCTCTCCTTCTCGCAGACCTTCACAAAGACCTGGTAGACCCAGTTTATTAGGGGTCTAAAAAAATCCTTCTAAAGTGGTCCCGAGCAAGACCTTAAACTGCACCAAAGGTTAATCAAGAAATTAAATTCTTTCTTCATTTCCCCTAACAGTATCCCTAGACAGGGACTTTTTAAAATTTTTTTATTTTGTCGTTGGAGCATGTAGAAACTTTGTGCATTTACCTTAGTGAAACTCTTGAAAAAAAAGAAAAAAAAAAAAGAAAGAAAGCTAAAAGTTTGCAAACCCTTTTGGTTTGCCATAAAGAAATAAAAAAAATAGATAAGAAAAAAAATAAATAAAAGAGGCCAAAAGCTTATCACCCCTAAATGTAGGTGAAGAAAAAAGGATGGTCAAATCATATCTGTGAATCAATCAGAAATCAAGAAAAAATTCTGGAATGAAATCCTTTGTCTCAGGAAAGTGCAAAAACAGTCAACAAGACAAAAAAACCAGAGTCGATGAAAGAATTTCATTCATTCACCCATGCCTACATTTTCAGACACCTAAAAATCCAACAAAGAGTCGAAAGGATTACTACTCTCAACAAAATACTTACATGCATATACATTTACAACGATTCTCTTCTCCCTCTCTATTTATATGCTAAAGGACCTTGACGTTCAACATGAGAACTTTCTGATATGAACTTGAACTCTTTAGATACTGTATATTTCATTTTGAGAGATATAAAATTTTATCAGTACATGCAAAATATATCTTTCTAATAATTATCTTTGCATGCATTTTTAAAAGGCCAAAAATTAGTGTATATATGGATTAAAGACGTTATCTGAAAGTAACAACCTGTAAACACATAATTCCCACATCACCTCCACAAGTACTGCATTCAGGAAACTCCAATATAATGCTTTCACTATGGTACTTGAGAATGTGCTGTATTCTATGATGAAGTTAGATGAATTGAAAATAAGTGAAGAAATTCTCAAAAAATCTGTCCATTAGGTAAGTAAACATACATAGGACTAAATTAGTTATTTAGATATTTTTTAAGTTCCATTCTTCACAAAAAATAATACAATAAAAAAAAAAAAGAAGGGATAAATTTTTAACAGAAAATAGAAATTGAATTTTTTATTCATTCAGAAGTGTGAAGCCAGGCAAGAAGAGGTTGAGGAAAATCAACTTTATCACAAGCTAGCATTTGTTAACCTGTGACCACCGAAGTATTTTAATATGCAAGTCACTGATAAATGGTACAATATCAAAAATGTCTGATCTCGCTGGATGTTACTGATAAATGGCACAATATCATAAATGCCTGATGTCTCTTCACAAATAAAACCTTGTTTTGTTCCTAAAGGCTCTTATACAAAAAATGTTGATAATATAATTATTTAAACATTTAAGTTGAAGTTAAGTTTTCATGTATTACAAGCTTTATTTGAATTTATTGTTGAAATATCACAAATTTTCAAAATGTTACAAAAAAGGAGGGCCTTTAATGCATTTCAGATGACAATTTTTTATTGCATTTCCTCAAATGGGAGTAAAAGCTCAGAATTTATGTTTTGGTGTCAGTTCTTATCTCATTAAACCCCAACTATCTTGCCTTGTCTATGTGGAAAAAGTATAAAGTATAAAATGTATTGGTCACCTCCTCTATCTCTGCACAAACAAGGAAACATTGTCAGTATTGCATTCTTTATGTTGCAAAAGATAATTAAAATGCAAGAACATTTTGTAAGGGTGAAATTGACAAGCTTGATCAACTGAGAAGAAGAATGTAAAGATTTACATGCTTGATTTGCTTGCACTACAGATTCAGATGTATACAGATGCAAAGTATCAGCATTATTCTGTTATTTCTGTATTTTATTTCACCTATGATTGCGTAAACCAAGTGTAAGTTATCTTGTTCAACCCCTCACATTAGAAGTCTTCCTATGTACCATAAAACTATACAGCACAGAATCTTTGCTAAAATCTTCTTCTATATGTAATATATTCCCCATGCAAAAATTCACTCTCTTAACTATCTGAAGGAAATTGATTTACAGCAGAGTCAGCATTAATCACAGTACCTTTTGTTGACCTGAAAGTCTTTTTAGCTTTTCTGACAAAGATGGACAAGCTTTTTCTATTGATTTCTTCTAATTAGTCAAGTTAGCCAAGAATTTTCAAAATGAGCCTGTAACACAAAAATGATAGCTTGAACTAAAATTCAGATATAATACTATATGTGTAAATTTTCTATATACACAAGTGCCAAAACCACTCTCTGGTTATGTGGGCATAAAAAATGAATTGTATTCACTCTTGTGATATCATTTCCAATGTTGGTTCCACTCCCATTAAGAATAACTGCAAAAAAAACCCACTCCCCAAATTTATGACAAATACACAGATGCATGCTGAGATTTTTTTACTAACCAGTAAGATAGGCCACTTCTTGGTCTCATCCAACTCAGTTTTGTTTTTTCTTGTCTTGAAACAGAACACTATGATTGCTTGTCTGTATCGCCTTTTGTGTATTAACATGATTATTAGTTTGTGAACTGTTTGCCATATTACTATTGCTCTGCCTTATTACTGTTGTGTTGCCTTGCATATATTGTTTGCTTGCTTAATATTATTTTTGCCCTGTTCTTTCTTTTTTTTGTTATTGTTTATTGCAAACTTTGTCAATTCTGTTTGTTGGGCATTTCTGCCAATTACATTTAACCATGACCAATTACTCAAGTCTTTTTAATTAATTACAAAATCAACAAAAGTAGAATTCTTCTGTTCTTGAAAATTTATATATGCTATTTTATGCCAATGCCTCCATGTCCTGTTTCAGGTTTATAATTTAGTTAGTTGAATAAACTCATATGAAACCTGAGTGTTTTTCATTTCATGTTACAATCAATTTTAAGAAACTAAAATACAATTTCTAATGAAAAGTACTTACCAAGAAAAGAACCAAAGCAATTACACACCAGTAAATAAAATAACTTGTTTTTTTTTGTCTCACCAATATATCACAAGCAATTGGTATCCTACATCAGAAAAATATGAGAGAGAGACAGAACACTGATAATGTACATACAAAAATACATGATATATGAACTTAATGAAAAAACAAGGTTGCTTTCAAAAACTGTTCTGTATTTAAACAAAAATGATGTTTGCATGTGACTGTTTTATACAATGATGTATATGAGGGTTGGCTGAAAAGTTCATAGGCTGACCCAGATAGTCTCAAAGAATGTGACCAAATGAGCTTTATTTTTCAACATAGTCCCCTTTGCATTCTACACGTTTCTTCCATTGGCATTGCAGTGCTTGGATCCAATTGGGGAAAAAGCTTTCATCCTGTTGGTCAAAAAAGTCATAAACAGCATATATGACATCATCATCACAGCAATATTGATTTCAAGCTAAGTGTTTTTTCATGTTGGGGAACAGAAGATAGTCATATGAGGCTAAATCAGGAGAATATGAAGAGTGATCAACCAGTTCAAAACCAGTCAAGCACAACAGCCATTGAAAGCAAGAATCTCTTTCCTCAGTTTTCCTGGGCATCTGGTCTTGATAGCCTTTAGTAACTGCCTCAGTAAGTTCGTATAGTACTCTCCATCTCCCTGCAGATGAAACAACCTTGGCTTTCTTTGGAACAGGTGAGGACGGGTGTTTCCACTGTATGGATTGTCTCTGGCTCAAAGTGATGAACCTAACACTCATTCTAGGCTAGGAAACATTCAAGGAAACCAGATGGATCTGCATCAAACATTGTCAGATTTTATTGTGATGCGATCAGCTTGGTGCAGTTTTGGTCAGATGTGGCACCTGCCAAGCAGAAACCTTTGTCATGCTAAGTTCATTGTGCAGAATATTCTCAACTCTTGCACAGGATATGCTAATAGTATTGGCTATTTGGTTTATAGTCAATCACCTGTCATCCATCACCATGTGATGAACATGATCAATGTTTTCCTCAGTTGCAGGACATCCAGATTTTGGGTCATTTTCAAAACTCTCCTTTCCTCTCCTAAATTCAGCTACCAACTTTTGCATTGTTGATAAAGTTGAAGTATTATCTGATGTAGCAACCATGTCAGCATGAATGTCCTTGGGAGCTAAACCATTCTTTTTTTTTTCTTATAACACCACAATGCCAAATTTTGTCCCTTTTCAAGAGAAGTCACTACTAGTTACTTTTGAAGTCTTCTTTGAACAGTCAGATGTCAGATGAAATTAATGCATGCAAGATTTCTTCTTTTCAGCTCACTCTCATATTGTACACTTGACATATACTTGGAAAATAAATTCAATAAAACAAAATTAAACTTGGGCAATTATAAGATTAGTACTGTGCATATACCCAATATTCAGTTCCCATTGCTAGTCATTTAAATACAAACTATACAATGAGTATTTAATTTTATCAGAATCATTGAAAGTAACAATTTAGAATATTCTATTTACAAACACCAAATAAAGAAAAATAATCATGTAGGATAGATTAAAATGTTGTTATATCACACAAATTATGAAACATCTTTAACTGTACAAAGACTGGTTTAAATGCTTGAAGTGATTTCTTAATAACATAACATTCTTAATGTGATTTGGACCAAAAACAAAGAATCACCTACCTTATTTGTTGTTGCATTTAAAAAAAAACTAATGCTGCTGAAATTGAGCAATCCTTGTACACAAGAAAAAAATAAATCAAGATCAGAAACCTCCTGTCAGTTTATATTCCCCTAACTCTTCCCACCATACATACATACACCTTTTCTCTCACTGCTATACATCAATCTCATTACACATATTTATCAGCTCATTTACAGCATATGCTCCTTGCCTCTGATCTTACCAGACCATCTTATATAGCAGTAAAATCTCACAAAGAACATAACAGACATCAAACTCTTTGCAATCTTCATAGTGTTTAAACCTAATTGTTATTTTTTTTGTCTTTCATCCCCAGTTTCTTCATCAAACTGTAAATTGGTGTACATCCAGAATATGTTCAGGTATGCATTTGAGTGACACATTGTTTAGGAATCACACACCAATCAGTATTCATTTTCCCTTTCACACTGTACAACAAAAGTCTCAATTTTCGACATGTTCTACTTTTCTCTCATGATGTCATCCTGTTTCACCTCTTCCACAGCATTCTTCATCATGATAAGCATTCTTTATCCTCTTTATCTTCCCAGTTTACTTCTTCCACTATTGATATGGCTATATGCAATCATAAAACCATCCAATAATTGAATAGTACCCTACAGTGAAAATAACTAGCTCTCTTCTACTCATCTTTCATTTTCCGAATCTCATTATCTTTTTTGAAACACCAGTTCTCCTAACCTAGTTTATTTTAGTCTGAGCCCTAGGACAGCACCTACTACCAAAGGTTCAGGTGCCTTTACAGTTAACCCAAATCTTTTCCGGTGTCCTACAATCTTTTCCATTATCGCCACTATCTTATCCCCTAGTACATTGTAAATATGAAGCTATCAGTTCCTCCTCCTTCAATATCACCATGAGGTCTGTCACCAAACAATAACAAAATTGAACAATCTTCATATGTAGACAAAAAAAAAAACTGAAATCAGAAACTCCTTGTAGTTTAATGCTCCCCTAACCTTTCCTACCATGCATCATATTTTCTCCCCATTCTATGCGCTAATTTATATCACACTGAATTAACTGATAGCTGTAGAACTACTTCAATGATTATTAGGTAAATTAAAAATAATGCAGGAAATGTGAAATATATGTTAAGAAGAAATGTAGAAGAAATATAAATAAACTTACCCAAGTGCAGCAGAAAAAGGCCAGCCTATAATAGCACTAGCAGCAACTGCCAAAATTGCTATCTAAAATAAAAACAATAACTATTTTTGCATGACAATAATTTCCAACAATAAAAACTGCTTAATTCTTGTAATAGAAAGCCACAACTAATTTGAAATATATATTAAAACTAATTTTTGTCTGAAGTTTTTGGAATTATCATGATTATACATTGATTCACTTGGACTAATGTATCCATGTTATTGTTATAATCCCTGTGTTTCAGTTATTCCATGTGATATCATACCTAGTAACCTTAAGAGAATTTCAAACCATGTAATTCAATATTCTTAACCAATATATTTATCAATATATTTGTCCCATAGCAGTGGTAAACAATGTTTCTTGTCTGCTTCTTTGACTTAATGAGAATATGACATTCTGCACTACCCATAGTCTAATCAGGTGTTAGAACTTTAGAGTCTTATGTCCTTTCTTAATTAAAAGCTCTCATATAGTTTTATTTTCATACTAGAACTACTATTATTAGGAATTCATTCCACAGTGGCTGGTGACTCCCACTTTTTCACTTTAATCACGCATGATTAGCCATACCTGATTTAATTGTGTCTTAGAATATTATAGCTTTCCCATATTCCTACAGTCTTATATTTAGTGGGTGGCTGATCTTACCTTTGTATTCCCTATCATAAATGCATGGCATGAAATACAACTAGTTCTCTTCTAAGGGAGACTTGATTTGAGAGAGGATTTTAAAGGGTGTTCTGTGGCATGGAGTATGAACTGCAGATCTTCTGATTTTTTTTTTATTTGATGGTAAACTGACATTTTTCTTACTATTTTTACTTACATAAGGCAATTGTTATCTTGAAAAATATCTCTTGTGTGCCACAAAAGATGAGTTTTGCTTGATCTATATAGATGATGCCATTCTTCACACTAGCTGGTGAGAATCAAAGTTCAGGTACTATATGGTAAATTATTTATATGTAGATTATTGTCTGCATCTTTCTTTTTGTTATCACAATGCTTCAGCAGTTGTGCTTGTTGATCCAGGTAACCAGGAAATTTTGATAAGCCTTTATATATAGAAGATAGAATGTGGCAGTTTTCCAGTCCTCCTCCTTAATACTCCTGTTTCTGCCTACAAAAAGCTGATGTTATGTTTGTAGAGTAACTGTTATTTGGAAAGGTACACTCAATGCAAATCATCTATTGGTACACTTGATGATTTTTGCTCAGTATTGTAGACACTGAAGAATCCCTTTCTTTACACTGTATTGATGATGGGAACTGCAGCTAAAGTATTGTTAATCAGCTTGTGATAAATGGATGTCTTGAACTGATTCTATGTGTGAGTTATTAGTGCATCCAGGAAGTCTAGCTGATTATTGTTTATTATAATTAATTCTAAACTGGATCAAAGGTCTTACTAAGTTAACACAGTATAGCAGTATTTATACAGCTTCCTGGTGAGGTCAGAATATGAAGGTGTATCTCCAACAGAAAAAATAATATATATGTTGGTCATACCAATACTATGTTGTCTCGAAGGTTGAGTTTTCATTTGAATGATGTATCTAACATCTCTCAACATTTATGACAGCATGCCTATACACATTCACAATTTAGGAAAATTCTTGTTGAAAATACATCTATACTTTTTCATGAAAATAATAAACAATCTAAAAATTCTTGAAGCTATCTATATTAAAAAACTGAAACCAAGTCTTAATAAAATTAATTATGAATACGGCACAAATATTTTAAAATGATTACAGTAGATAAAATAACAATTTTAAAAAAATATTTAGACATTTCAATAACAGTTACCTCCCTTGACGTTTGTCGTGTGTTTACTTCATAAAATTTTAAAATCGTAAAGTACATATAGTGTTTTTCACTTCACAAGTAAAAATTTAATTTTCAGATGAACACAACAATTTTGTTTTAGAAAATGATGAACACAACAATTTTTCTCTTAGAAAAAACAAGACCTTGATGATGACATTGTGCTAATATTGAAAGTACTCAGAATAAAATGAATATGCATCAACATGGTAATTTTCTTTCTTCCTTTAATAAGAATACTAAGAAACTTGTCCATAATTACGAGAGGATCCTATTAAAAATAAGTAAACAAAACTTGTCTAAATTATTTAATGAGACATGTCTTTACAGTGATCCCTCATTTATCATGGTAGCTTGGTTCCAAGACTGGCTGCGATAACTGAATTTCTGCAAAGTAGGGATGCCATATTTACAGTATTTATTTAACATGTATTTGGACTTTTAAAACCTTCTCTGTACTGTTAACAGCCCACCCATTACAGTACTCTATTAATAACAAGGACACTTTAGATTAAAAAAAAATAAAGATTGTTACTGTACTCAAGACAAAAGAAGTTGAAGTAAAATTTGAATGATGATGGTGATGAACTTGCTGCGCAGTAGAAATGATGATGATGAAGCTGATGATGACTTCTACTGTGCAGCCGATGATTGCATTTTATGTCTCTTGAGACAGCGGAGCCCTTTTCTGGGACACCTCTTCCACTTCTTCCGAAAGTGCAACCATAGTAGTAGCAGCAGGAATTCACTCTTTTTTGCGAGGCTGCAAAAAAATTGTGATAGGAAGTTGCTGCCACTGCTTCTTTTTCCATTCAAAGAGCATCTTGTAGGGATTCATGACTTTGTCAGCCTTGTTGCAAAATTGCACAAAATGAACCATATCGTCGTTCTATTTCTGTGACCCCACTTTCAATTCTTTAACCAGGTTGTAGAGCTTGGCCAGCTATTCCAAAGTCAAGCCAGTTTGGTCGACAACTTCTGTTTCTTACTGTGATTCTTCTTCTCAAGTCTTTGAGGTCTGCATCAGTTAGCATCTGGGAGTGGCAGTCTTATAACTCATCAATGTCTCCCGTGGTCATGTCTGCAAAGCCATAACCTCCAATGATCGCAGCCAACTGCAAAGCTTTCTGGACCGCAGAGTGTTGGATTTCGTCAGGTGTAAATCCCTTGTCGTCGTAAATAACCTTTGGCCACAAATTCTTCCAGCTCGCAAAATGGTGGCAGGCTTCATTTCTTGCAATGCCTACTAGATAATTTGGAGGCACGTGGCAACTGTGTACTGCTGCCAGTATGCCTTCAAGTTAAAGTTTTCATCTTCATCTTCTTGGGCAGCATTCACAGAAGCAACCAAGTTCGCCAGGACATTCCTCATGTATAGGGCCTTGAATGCTTCCTAGTCCATTGGCTAAATAAGTGACGTAGTGTTGGGTGGCAGGAACTCAATCTGAATGCCCTCATGCGACAGATCAGTAGCGTGGCCACCAGCGTTATCCATAAAGAGAAGGATTTCAAATGGCAAGCCCTTCTCTAATAGATACACCTTGACTTGCAGGATAAAATTACTGGTGGAACCAGTTGAAGGTCAGCATCTTCGTTATCCATGCCTTTGGATTGTGTATCCAATGTATGGGTAGTAAATACTTGTTTTTGTTTTTTAAAGCCCTTGAGTTTTTAGACTTGTAAATAAGTCCTGGCTTTAAGAAAAATCCCACAGTATTGCCACACATCATGAAGGCCACACGATCCTTGTATGCTTTAAAGCCAGAGGCTTTTGCTTCCTCTTTGTACAGGAAAGTTTGCAATAGCATTCTTTTCCAAAACAAGCCTGTCTCATCCATATTAAAAACTTGTTCAGGCTTATATCCACCTTCGGAGATAATCTTCTTGAAAGTTTCATTCACGTAAGTTTCAGCAGTGCTTGTGTCAGCAGAGCAGCCTCACCATGCAGTGAAACACTTTTTAGACCGAAACGTTTTTGAAACTTAGCAAACCACCTTTTGCTAGCAGAAAAAGGACGTTTTTTACGTTGTGAATCACTGGACATTCCTGGTTGCAGATCTTCTACATTGTCTTCCTCTTCTTCCTGGTCACCACTGTTGTCCTCAGGTTCGTTAGTGGCGAAAGTTCCTAGCCTTTGTTTGGATGATGTTCATATCCAAGGCTATGTTCTTCTTTCGATAGTCCACTATCCATATGGCTAAAGCAGCTTCCATATGGATGATAGTTTTATTATGAGCTGTAACCACTCTCTTTGCTGACTTATTAAAGGTGATGGCAGCTGTCTTCCTAATGTTAGCCTCGTCCTTCTTGATGTAGCAAACAGTGGATTCGTTCACGCTGAAATGGTGGACTACGGCAGTGAAAGTTCCCCCTTCTTTCAACATATCCAGAAGTTTCACCTTCTCAGCAATTGTCATCATTCTTCGTTTGTATTTAGGCTCAGTACCAGCCTTGGAAGAAGCAGTATGCTTGGGAGCCAGGGGATGAAAACGCAAAGTTCAACACAAAGAAACAAAAAAATATCACATACAGCACAGCATAAAGTAGTACAGTAAACCGCTCGCCGAGAAAGCTTGAAGCAAAATGGCTGTGAGAGAGAGACAAGGGAAGATGCTGCAGATCTGAGCATCGGTCAAAGCACTAATCACAGGCCTGATTACAAAATAGAAAGCTGTGATTCTTCATCTCTCCATTGTACCAATCACAGCCCGCCTTACAACGCACTTCATCACTGAGATGGTACACTTTGCATTTGCTCAACAAGATACGCAAGTACTGTGTGCACATCGCATTCTAGATGGTTCTTTTCTTTTTGTCATGTGAGTTACAAGTTCAAATACCTCTCCATATGTTTTTTGCTATTTTACGCTTGTTTTGTTATTCTTAGACTAGGAAATAATATTTATTATTAATATTTTAATGGATTTAATGAAAAATTTTAGGTGTTCATATATTGCAATTTTTCTAGAATTTACCAGAAACTCTGCGATACATTTTCCATATATTTATTTTTAAAATCCGCGAAGTCATGAATCCGCGATAGTAGAACCGTGAATTAGTGAGGGATCACTATATATATATTGTTTTTTTACCTTCCCCCTGCCATTCTTTTTTACTTCCTTTGCCACTGAAAAGAGGGATTAACTAAAAATAAGAACTTACATGAGTATTGTTAAGAAACCAAGCTCCCATAGCAACCATAGTAAGGTACATGGAAAAACTGCTGGGTAGGAATGAAGAACAAGCAATAAACATGCCTGTGCTAAATAACATTAACCACAACATAAGCTGGCCAATTTTGGCACCAAACTGTTTGCAGACTCCTCTGAAAGAAAAAAAAACATATTCAAATTCTTGATGTGTAAAAAAATAATCATGTTAATAAACAAAAGATTACTAAGGTTGTCCATATTAAAAACATGAATATTTATAGGTCAAACCAATTTCAATCAAAATACTGGAATTCAAACTGCCACTTAATGTGCACAATAGAAGGACAAAGAGAGAATTAATTAAATATATATCACTAGCAAACTTTAGCAACTTCTGTACAACATTAAGTCGCTTTACAGAATTTGTAATTATTTGCAAATGCTAATTATCAGTAAGCTTAATTATTATTTAACTATTATCACATTGCTACTTTGGTTGACAGAAAAGAGAACAGGCAAGTCAAAAGAAATGACTCTGTAATTAGCAGTTGACACTCAGAATATTTTTTTTGTTAATTTAAACTTAATCAGAAACCAGTGAAGTGATTGGACTGGAAACAAGGGTGGTATTTCAGCAAAATCCCATTAACTTCCCATTTATAGAATTTATACCATATTTGCAAATGCTAAAGATTCAGGGATTCTTCCTGGCTTATTTTTACAATTTATTTTTTACTAGGTCAGATCCTATCATGTCAAATGATCAAATTTCAAATGCAGATTGTACATAAAAATGACATCAAAGGGCCACACAGCACATTTCAGTTAATATTCTTTTCTTTTTACTCAGTGGTTGCTGCCAGACAAAAAGGGAAATCAGCTCTCATGACACAGATGTCCATTTCAATTTCTTTCAAATTTTATGTAACATGTATGTGTGCATGTTTATTTTAATTCAATTACAAACCTAAAAATATTTCTACAAAATTTTAAAATGATTAAGAAATAATTTTATCTATTAGCAAATTTACAAAAGGTTCAATAAAATCAAATAATTATCTGATTTTTTTAGGGTTTAAAAAATTAATGTTTTTCAACAAGAAATTAATCATGTAAGTTATTTCTCTCATTCCACTTGTGCCATTTTTACCTGAATTTTGTTTTTGTTGTCATAATCATTTTTTTAATGTTTAACTTAAATTTACATTATAATTCATTTTTTTTTTATTTTATTTTACAACTATACACATGTAAGCAAAGAGACAGATGAACATGAAGCTGTTGATAAGTTTTTCTCTTATGATTTTATTGCTCAGCCCAGAGTGGAGGTTGAGGGGAATGTATTATTTCAATAACCAATTTAAGACTCAGTCAAATAGTGTGAGCTTGTATGTACATTAAATAGCTCAAGTACATGTAAGTTACTCATGAACAACACAGATATAGACATTAAGCCCATGCAAAGTTACAAACAGGCAATGTGTAACTTACATAGAAATTATTTGGAAACTGTTCACTTGATTGGACTGGAAATTGATTTTGTATACAAATTAGATTTTAATGTTATTGTGCTAATAATTATTACACTATGTAAGTCAAGTGAGCAGAATTATGATAGTAAAAATCCTAATCCTTTTTTTCTTAGCTGAAACAAAACACTCTTAACACAGTTGTATAATTTCCCACAAGCTCCAATTTCACATTATCCTACAATTTGCTGTTCTTGTTGTGTTATGGTAACAAATACCCAACCATACAGCCATTTGATCATTTATTAAACACAATAAATAAAAAATAAGTTTTATATCTGCTAATTTTTATTTATTGAAAAACTGTAATGTAAGAATCTGTCAAGGCTTATTATGATAGCTATTTAAACAAACTTTGATCAAAGAAATACTAGATAGTCTAAATAACAAACAATTCCTAAATTATTAAATGGGATAGGTTCCTATTATGGTATGCAAGGGAAAAATTATAATTATGGCACACTAATAATAAAAAATTATATAATTATAAAAATTTCTATCCCTTTAAACTATTATGTATGTAATAGGCAATTTTTATAAATTACAAACATTCATTTGCATATTTTTTTAGTTTATTTACAGCAAAATGAGTTAAATTGAACACTGCAACAAATTTAATTATTTGTATTCTTATAATGCTAAGCTTTAATTTTTATTTTTTTACTACTAAACTTATTGTTGCATAATTATTAATACCTTTGGTGAAAACCTTGATTTTAAACCAACAGAAATTTGGTCACTGCTTTGAGAACTAATATGACTCGTTCTACGAAGCCCACAAATTTTGAAATATATTGCTGATGATTTGGAAGTTTTTTCCTGAAGATTTTTTTTATTTTGCCTGTAGATTTTGTCTGTTGTGTCCAAAGTCCATTGATGGGGTCCATAGATGAGAGGTTTGTCTGTATTAGAATTGTATCAGATTTGCATTAGAAAATTACAAGACTATAAAATAAATTTAATAAAATCTAAGTTGAAGAAAATCCACTTTTCCAGTGAGTTTTTTTTTTTTTAATCGAAAGTTAGCAATGATTGTACAACAAGGACTTCATTACAAAATGAATATATTAAAAAAAAATAAAGACGTTTTAAAATTTATAACAGAAAAATATCTCCTAGAAATACTATTTCACACTGAAAAAAAATGATTCAATTGATGTGCTGAATACAAGATACAGGGATTGTTCAAAAATTTCTAGACCTTATTCAGAAAGAAGAGCCATGGCTGAACATTTTTGTTGAGGAAGCATATTACCACTTCTTATAAAACTAGGAAAATTAATTCAAATTTCTGTTTTAATTTCTGTGAAATATAAAAATAAAAGGTGTGTTACAAATATAAAAATGGGCAGAACAGAGGCTCGAGCAGTCATAAAGTATCAGCAAAAGAAAGGTATGACACCCAAGGAATCCATGAGGACATGGTACAGACACTTACTGAGGAGTCCTGTTCCAATGCAACTGTGAAGAAGTGGGCTGTGAAATTCAAGCAGAGCAGGGAGAGCACAGTCAGATCATCCAAAAACCTCAAGCACTGATGATATGGTTTTGGAAGACGGACGTTTTACAGTCCAGCAGAGAGCTAAGTCCATAGGCATTAGTTCTGTTTTGGTCCATACAGTTTTAACCGAGATTTTGGGGATGAGCAAACTGACTGCAAGAATGCAGAAGCTGAAAAGGGTTGACATTTCCAGGACACTTCTGACTCACTCCCAGGCTGACCCTGGGAATTTCCACCACAGGTTAGTAACTCAAGATGAAACCTGGGTTCACCATTTCAAACTTGAATCAAAGAACACTCTTCAGTATCTGCCTATATTTCTGAGATGAGGTATTATGTACACTATTTACATTATTTGAACTATTGTTCTCATCTTTGTCACCATGTTTATCACAACGATTCAGCTGTTGCCTTTATCCACTATGCCATGTGTCCTTGAGGAGTTAGTTAGATCCAGTGACAGGACCCAAAGAGTGTGAGTTCAATACCTGGTTAAGGAAGTGGAGAACTTTCAGAGGGGAATTAACAGGAGATAACTGACATCCATTAGACGTGGCACGTGGAACTAGAACAGTCTACCCCAGTGAGCGAAATAAAGGGTTCAGTTCGACATTCCTGAAGAAGGCCGAAGCGTACAACAGCCGAAACATTGTGATAAACATGGCGACAAAGATGAGGACAATAGTCTGAACAACATAAATAGTAATAACACTCTTGTTCTGAAGAAGTTGAAGCAGGTAGCATCTGTTGGAAATGAGATGGCTTCTGTTTTTCAGGATTCTGAAGGCATAGTCATGATAGACTACCTGGAAAAGGGAAAAATTATTAATGGACAGTACTAAGCTTCAGAAATAAAACAATTGAAGGAAACAATCAAGTTGAAATGCAGTACAAAGTTGAGGGCAGGTGTGCTCCTGCTCCAGGATAATGCATGCATTCACACTGCTCAAGTTGCAGTAGCTGAAGTAGCCAACTGTGACTTGCTACCCCATCCGACTTCTTCCTGTTACCTAAACACAAATTCCATCTGAATGGTCACTGTTTTGGAAACAATGATGAGATCAAAATGCCACCTCCCATGATGGGATCACAATGCATCATTGGACCAAGTGCATTGATTTCAAGGGGGACTATATTGAAAAATAGTGAAAAACTGTCTTGTTTCTCCAACTTCTTCTGAGTAAGACTTAGAACATTTTGAACAACCTTTCATAAAAAGATTAACTTACTTGTAAAAATAAAGTTCTGCAAGTGCACAAATAATTCCCAGTATGCATCGTAGAAAGTAAAACAAGAAAATCTGAAGATGAAAAACAAAATAAATTATCATTTTACACCTTAGGCACTGCTTCTTACATGAATAGTTAAAATATATAATTTAAAGTTCTCTAGCTTGCCAATTTACTATTTCCTTGAATCCATTAATCTATTATATACAATTGTCTGTTTAAACATTTAACTGTGTACATACTGAAAAGTTTTTGTAAAAACACCTAAATTTCCAGGTTCATTTATCTGATCAGTTTGCAATAAAAATGCTGCCAAATTTGGTTTGCTTACACCATTTACAAGTAAACATTGATTTTATAAAATTGATCTGATCTAAAGGTTAACAGATTAATAGAAGGTCAGTTATACATCAAAGACAATTTGCAAGTTCAAGAAAATTGTAACACTTACTCAGATTTCATTATGCTAGACAATATTTTCAGAGAAAAGTTGGCATGAACCAATATTTTCAGGATATACTGATACTGGTGTGCTAAAAGTCATTGGATAGCATTATGTAAAAGTAATAGATCATGTCATTTTACACTAACATCATGGAAAGATCAGTTATGATTCTGTGTGAACACCAACTTGGCTGCTCATAGCAAAGGAAAATGAATTACCAGAGTTCAGGTATGATAGTGGTTGTCAGACAGACAGGACATTCTATTTCTGGAACTCTATATCTATCAACCAATGAAGTAGCATGTGTCATGAGGACATAACACAGTGGCTAACCACAGATCCTTAATGATCATGACTAGAGATGTCTGACTAGAATTGCCTGTGGTAGCAGACAATCAACATTGAACTAAAGCGCTTCTACAATTCAGAGGGTACCAGACACATATCTAGCATTCTTTAGCTACTATTGAATATGAAAGCAGAAAACCCATCAAGTGTCCCTGTTAACCAAACACCAGACACAGCACCTCATTTGGGCTTCTGACATTACTAATTGGACCCAAGAACACAACTTGTGTAGCATCTGCTATATTGCACTTCTTCATGACCATTTGCATTTCATGTAACCCAATAACAATGGCTTATTCCAGCAGAACAATGCATTGTCATTGAGTCTAAGTTACTCAGAATTGGTTTGAGAATCATTCTGGAGACTTTGAACAAATTTACCACCACATTCACCTGACATGAACTAAATAGAGCATTTATGGGATGTGATGGAAAGGTCTATTTTCATACAAATATATATTAATAAGAGCAATTTATTGTGTGAATTTCAGCTTAGAATATTAATAACTTGTTTTAGTGGTGTCAAGTTTTATTATAGAGACCAAAAAGATAGAGGCTATCAAAACACATACTTAATTAACAGCCCCATGTAACTGAATTATTTATTATTTTACATATTATTATTGGCTCTTTGACATTCTATAACCTTCATCAGTCTTTCACTATTGAACTTTTTTACTGTTTTGAACTTAACATTACTTGTAGCAGTTTTTATTGCTGCACAGAGATCTTTTATGCTTGAATATGTTTTTAATTCTCATATACATGTTGAAGAAAAGAGAAAAATATTGACAACTGATTCAATTATAATCTTCATAACTTCAACCACAAGACTTATAATTTCATTGTCAAACTTGATTTGCTTTTACCACGGGTGAAATATACTGCCTTGTATCTCAGGGAAGTGTTCTGTTTTATACTAAAGGACATTATTGACATTTAAATACAACCCTTGGTAAAATTATGAAATTAGAACATGGCAAAGTCTCATCATTTTACAGTTAAAATAGCTAGATGTAACTATAAGTTCTATGCTAACAGTTTCTTCTATCACACTTCTCACTTGTGGAACTCTCTTCCAGCTTCTTACTTGATCATCAAAAATTTAAATGCAATGTAAATAAATACCTTCTGTCTTCTTAATTTTTTCTTTTATTGTTATCTCCCCTTAATATGTTTTTCTCATATTCTCTAACACTCAGTAACCCCTTGCATCTTAGTGGCTTTATTGCCTTGCTTGATGTGAAATGATGTGAAAAAAAAATGGGCTGGGTAGGCATATTTTCCCAGAAAAAAACAAATCCTTCAATGAGTCAGTTTGAGATGCCACTCAAGGTTCAGTCAACCACCTTTCAATAAAGTCCTCCAAAAAAGTCTCTCCCTCTCCATACTGATCTTGACTTTCAGTTGGTGCCTGAAGAACACAACTAGATATTGGGAAGAAAAAGGCAATGCTCTGTGAACTTCATTCATCCTTATTGTCTATACTACCATGCACATCATGGCTAGAAAGTAAAGAGGTACATAGTGCTTCTTTCTGTCAAACAATGAGCTCAAACTGCTACAAACAGAACTAGCTTCCAACACAAAAAATTGTTCACACAGCATGCAAACTATGTAGCCTTCAATAAGTTCACATAATAACCATGCAATGAAAGAAGGTGTGAATTGATCACACCTTCTCTATAGCCTCCTCTGTTTTACTGCAACGGATGCACTCTGGAGAAACAGCCAGTCCTGTTGTGGAAGATTTTTACCAAACCAGTGCAATCTAGATCATCAGACAGGTGAGTGATACTTTATGTGAGGCATTTCAATCCAGGTGCCCAAAGCTATATGGAGTGAAACTCCTCCTTAGTCAAGCCAAGCAAATCATTGTGAACAGCTCCCTAACTAATAGATGATATAATATCTATCTAGATAACAGTCAGATGTCAGCAAAGCAAGCCTGTATCCAAGAAATAACTCTCAGAGAATGTCAGCATTCATGGTAGAATGATCACTCATTTTAGGGCAAATGGCGTGCATGCTCTTTAAGGTCAGGAAGATTTTCTCGACATCTTCCTTACAGAAGCTTCAGTTTTCATCATCCTGTGTGCACATCCAACCAAGGAATTGTAAATGCAATGTGTAACAATAGGTCTCAGTGATCAGTATTCCAAAGACACACTTGAACAGATGGAGGCAGTAGACTTCATGATGCACCACAGGAGCTCTGTCACCCCAGAGGAGGCAAGCTCTCTCTAGTTGAACTAGTTCAGTGAACAAGAATGGCAGTACTGAAAGATGGTAAAGGATGAGATGGTAGATGTATAACACACACCTCAGTCCTCTGCTTCAAGGAATGATTCCTTTGTAGGCATTGATTAACTGCAAATATGACCTTTTCCAGACCTAGCCAATTCTTCTCCAGTTGGAGTTTGGGACCAAACCAGATGCCAAGTATCTTGCAAGGCCCAACTGTCCAACTGAAGGGAACTGAGAGAGGACCACCTTTTGACAAACCCAAACTGTTAATTTTGACACCTGTGACCATCTTGTATATCTGGTTTCTTTGCCAACTTCGTTGATGTCGGTACTGTTCATTACAAGCATGAAGACATCATTGGCATAGGTGGTGTATCTGGCTAGGATGGTAGTGCCAGTAAACAAAATCCTGCTAAGGACAGGATTCCTGCACAAATAATGCTCCAGTGCAAGGACATAGAATAGTGGTGAAAGTTGGGAACCCTGACAAATGAATCTGGGCAATATGAAGGGCTTCGATCTTACTCTGTTCACTTCCAGCATAGCTCCAGGGGTTGCATACAAGAGGCAAATACATGAGTAACTGTACAGCTTGAATCTGACTGCAAGCAGGACAATCTCTAAGAAATGATGGTTCACCCTATCAAAGGCTTTGGACTAATCCAAACTGATCAGTGCAGTTATCACAATCAATCATGCAAACCAAATGAAGCTATCTTGGATCAGCACAAATGCAAAGTATATCAAATGATCTATCACAACCTACAAACAAACAGTTTGCCAGGACATTGATCAAAATCTTAAACTCTTTGTTGAAGGTTGTAAATTACTAATCCCAACCCGTTCAGGTTTGTTCTTAAAGCTTAACCACACCTCTGGTGAAACACTGGGAACAATCCCTTTTTCAGTCCAGTGGTTGAAGAGCAACTCCAGCAAGGAGACAAACATGGCTGACAGACTTAAGTACTTTGTAGCGTAATCCATCAATACCTGAAACCTTGTCCCTCCTGACCTTCTTCAACACTTCCCAGATTTCCTCCTCTGATATGCCACCTTTGCAACTAGCTTCTTTAGTTTTAACAGGGTACTGGCCCTGTTTAAATGCATTAAATTACCGGATGGTTATTTGTACGGACTAATAATTGGATAATAATTATTATAATTCTCAGGAGAGTAGCTTGAATGAATAGGAAGAAAATTAAAAACAAAAGACGTTAAAATCTGTTGGGGATACCGGGACAGTCTATGTATATGTAGTCTATGGAAAGACGCTGAAATGGCGCAGTAGAACGGATCAGAACATTACTAGCAGAATCAAAGAATTGGGGTTTATTTTGGCACAGGTCGTACATTCAGAAGTCACACTTTGACTTCATCGTTTAATATGGCATATTCTGAGACCTTACAAAATGCCAAAAAGCAAAATTGTACCCCAGGATGTATTAAGGAATCGTGTATTGATTTAAGTTCCTTCAAGGAAGAAGCAGCAGCACCACATACTCTGGATAAGGTATCCGCAACTGTGTTTTCATTTCCAGGACGGTGTTTTATGTCGTATGAAAAGGAAAGAAGTTCCATTTTCCACCGTATAATTTTATCGTTTTTAATTTTTCCACGATTAGCGGGTTTAAACATAAAAGATACGGCTTGTTGATTAGTAATAATAGTAAAATGTTTCCCGGCAAGGAGGTCTCTCCATTCACGAACGCATTCGACTATGGCATATGCTTCTTTTTTGACTATATGAAGTCGTATTTCAGAGGGGTTTAGCGACTGAGAAAAAAATGCTACAGGTCGCTCAGCTTGTAAAAGAGTGCCTCCAATAGCCTTTTCTGAGGCATCGGTTTCAATAGTAAATGGCAATTCATCATCAATAACTTTTACAGATGACTCGGCAATGTCTTTCTTAAGTTTTTCGAAAGAATTTATAACTATAGGAGGCATAGGGAATTGTTTATTTTCGACCAGTGGATGAATTTTGTGTGAATATTTAGGTATCCATTTCGCATAGTAAGCAAACATACCAAGACA